CTGCTGGCTCATGGCCAACCTGCTGCCCACCAGCACACCCAGGTCCTTTTCCTTTCCTTTTCCAGTCCCTAGTGCTGTGCTCTGGCAGGTGCTCTGTGAAAGTCCTGCCTTTGTGTAACAACCCCGGAGTCCCAAAGGCACAGGCACGAGCCTCTGATCCGTGTGCGGGGAGCCCCGGGCTCCGCAGTCAGCCTGGAGAACACCTTTCCTGCTTGCTCAGCACCCGCTGCTGTAGCCAGTGGATAAAACCTGGGTAAAGACTGGGGAGTAAATCTGACTTTGCAAAAATCTGACTTTGCAACGTGAGGCATAAAGTGCTGCGAGGCCCTGGCCTGTGTAGGTCTGACTGACCCCAGACTCCCTGGGCTCAGTGAGTACGTGGCGCTGGTAAAAAGGAAGCGTTTGCTGGCTGTGGTAACGTGTGCTGTTTTGTGGAGTATTCGTCCCAATTTGGAGAAGGAAGATGAAGAGATCCAGGAGTGAAGGACAAAACGGATTCGACAGCTACAGAGGCAAAGCTCAGAGCTGGGAAAAAAGCTACAGAGCCTGGAGAAATGGGCCTTGCAGCGTGCTCCATGCAGCCTCTTTCATCCCCGTGTGATCCCAGTAATGTTGCCCCGGCACTGGGAGCTGCTCTGGGAGTTTTGCAGTTTAAACTGCGAGAACCGCGAGTTCTTCCTTAGTGTTTTGGTTTGGAATTATTTCTTCTGCGTGGTTTTCTCTCTCTTTTAAATGAGTGCTTAAGAACTGCTTCTTTCAAACTCCTATCCTGAAAAACAGCTGAGTTTCAACACACACATATACACACCCTGTGATATTACCAGCCCTGAAGACAATCTAAGAGTGCAGGTTCTGCACTTAATAGTTCTTTATCGAGGCTGGTGTTGTTCCTGTCTGCTCACTTGGTGGTGAAATTCTCTCATCTCACAGCACTGAATTAGACAGGTCGGTTCCTGTCTGCTGGGCAAGAGCCTGCTGTGGAGGCATGGCTTGAAAATGGGCTGATTTGAGTTTCTTTTGTGGAAGCTTATTTCAGGCGTGGGTATTATCTCATCAGCCCAGTTAGACTGAGGTAGATATTCACTGTCTTAACTTGGTAAAGCGAGAGAGGTGTTCAGAAAGCTGTTGTCAAACACTTGGTTTCTTGAAGAAGAGAGATTGACTTGCACATGCTCTGTCTGGCTGCTTGTCTCTCTGTCCTTCAAGGGAACCGACTAGCCAAGAGTAACAACGCTGGAGGAAGGAATATTTCAGAGATAATTCAGTTTTTTACAGTTTTGTGTGGGCAGCAGAGGGGAGAGCAGAGTTAAGGAAGGATGTGATGTGATGATGTGATGTGATATGATATGATACGATATAATATGGAAGGAGGGATATGCAGAGCTCAGATGTTCCTTCTCGTCGTCAGCAGGCAGCCAGTGACTCTGCCGGGGTGTATGGCTGGATTAGCCCCAGCACAGCCTTGGGGCAAGGGGAGGACATGAGGGGGACAAAGGGCACAGACCTGGAGGAAGCTGGAAGTTCATTAGTTCTGCTCCTGGAACAGCTCATTTGGGTTTTAACTTTTTTTCCCCACTCTTAGCAAAGCTGGTGGGCAGCTGAGGGCTGTGAATGTGTCAGGCTTTACCAGCTTGATTTCAGGCACACGTTGACGAGTTTCCTGTGCAGGAGTCTGGGGCACCAGCTTGCACACCAGTGCAGGGGGAAGGAAGGCACAGCCCGTTGTATGAAGGAGACTGGCATGTGGTTGAGCTAAAGCAGGAGGAAACTTGCAGAATTTTCTGCTGAAGCTTGAATTCTGTGACACAGATTTCCCTTTGCCCATGGCAGGAGGCCCAAGTCTCCTTTGGCCAATGCCTGCTGTGCCTTGGCCAGAGAAAGTGGAGTGTGTTGCTTAACCTTGCTTGTCTCTTCCCCAGAATGTATGAACTCTGAGCTGCTGGAAGAGCTGATGTCATCTGAAGGTGAGTCTTTGAGTCTCCCCCTCACAGCGTGGCCTTTTCAGGGGAGGAAGATCATCCCATGTGCTTTACCCAGCTGACAGCCTTGCAATTCCAGACTCACCTTCATCTTTTGTGGGCTCTGGACACAACCTCTGTTCTCACTGTCCCTGAGAGGGACCGGGAGAGTCTCTTCCATATCACAAGGCTGATTTGAAGCAAGCTCAAAGGCTGTTAGAGGTGTCCCGGCCCCAGTGGCAGGAGGAGATGGTGCGGCTCAGTGCCCATGCTTGGTGTGGGAGTGCTGAGCTCTGTAACCAACCCTGGGCTTCTCTTTCCCCAGTGTTTGCGCCCTTGCTCCGCCTCTCCCCTCCACCTGGTGACCACGACTACATCTACAACCTGGATGAGAGTGAAGGTGTCTGCGACCTCTTTGACGTGCCTGTCCTCAACCTCTGACTTCTCGGTGCGGCTGCCAGCCTCGCCAACACAGACCGTTTTGTAACTCTTTGGAAAGTGTCTATTTTTGGATTCCTTTTGTGCTAGAGCTCGATGAGTGAGCCAATTCAGAGATGTTCTCATACGGACTTAGAACCCAGAGATGTGAACTTGCAGGCTGGGAGCCTCCCTGTAGCTTCTTCCTCTTCCTCTGTCGCACGTGCAAGGTGCGTGTGCAGCTCATCCCGCTGCATCTCTCCCTCTCCACTGGATCCTGGGCCTCACTTCAAAGGGTCTGTGTTCTGAGTGTTCCCAGTTCACCCGTTGAGTTTGCCCAGGTGCCTCTCCGAGCTTTCTCAAATCTGCATGCCGTGGTTTTTCCTGCACTCCTAGAGGCACTTTGCACCTCCTAGGTACCAGCTGCTACAAGGAGCCCCAATCCCGGGCTCAGTTCACGCGCCCGGAGGCAGTTAGCGAGATTTCTCGATGGGAGCAGTTCAGGTTGGGGTGGATATATTCCTACATGACAACGAGGGTGGGGCAGGGCGGGGAGGGGGGGAGGTCCATTTCTTCCAGTGACTCCAGACCAAGCTAGTATGTTTTACAAGAAAAGAAGCACTTTTTTGAGCCAGCTGTGCCTCCTCGTAGGATGAAGGAGCCGAGTGTTTCCCTGCTTGTGCATCAGCAGGC